AAATTAAACTCAACCTATGAGTGATTATATTTTGTGTCAGACATTTATGTTAAATATCAATAGTACTGTGGTGTGAGTGGTTGAGCCGTCTTTCCTACTTTAGAGGATTTACAACAACCATTTTTTGATTGAGAAGCCAACATTTATTCTTATCTGCCTTGCATCACTTTAAATTTCATGGCGGCAAGTTGGTGAAAACTGGTAACCAGAGGTGCCTACTCAGATTTAATAATGGTGTGCATGTTTGTGGAGTAGTAATCATGAATAGCTTACTGGAAAACCAACTGACGTATCTAATGAATTTACTGGTCTCTGCGAGAGATTGGTTGCAGAAGATATCAAATAATGGATGTCCATTGAAACAAAGTATGTATCGTCAGCAACAGTTAAGAAATCGCTTTTTTCAAGAAAATCAGATTTGTTAATTTCGTTATGATATCTTAATTTTTCGATTCAGTGAATACGGTTGGCATGTTGGTGAATAATGCTGTGCATTACATTATGAGGCTGATGTTTTGTGTTTGTGAAATAGTTAATACTGACCACAAGTGTTCCGCCTTTGTTTTTGCCTAATTTCACATTCCCGTTTCATTTCAATCACACAAAGCACTGTACACCATCATTATGCTTCATAGTACAGAATAAATGATGGGGGCAAATTCCCACTGTAAGTAATTAATATTGTGTTACTTAATGGCTGTACTGTAATGATGGCATTGTTATCATCGACATTGATTAGATTGAGGCGATTTCATTTAGACTTTCAACCACAACAGCCAATATTATACACATCCTCCATAGTCCATGAAATTGATAGACCCCCCGCCCCCACGTACAGCCCAAGGAAAGTATGTGATTAGTTTTATTGGGTTGCTGGGATCTTTCTGAACATGAAAGATGGATGCTACCATTGAATGGGCAAACTGAAAATCTTCTTTTTTGCAAATGACTGACAACTAAATCAGCTTAATTATGTTTCCGCTGATAACTCAGTGTTTAAGATAGGTAGAAAACATATCGTGGTGTCTATACGCATGTTGTTGAGAGTATAGAATCCAATAGTGATACTGTTATACACCCCTTCGACTGTTGGTTATCATATATTTCCAAATGGCTGCCACCGAAACCTGTAGAAATCATTTTTATGCCTTATTTTTACTTTTAAGAGGTTACATCACTGTCTATATCGTGGAGTAGATGATAATTGTTTTTTATATTTAGGTGGTTTTGCTGGCGTAATTTGTAAAGCATCCAATATGGACGCTAAGTAGACACTTTGGCATGACAAATTTATGAAATTTAAAATGGCTGCCAGTATTGTAAAATATTAAACAAAAAAGCATAGGCGAATGTGCAAATTGACCAAACAAACAAACAGAAAACAAGACAAATTGAAATAAAGACTTTTATCCAAAATCTAAATATTATATAAATCCATATAGATCATTCAATAAAACACTATATTTAATAGGTTAAGCGATGCTCCAAAAAACTACTAAAAATAAAAGTGTTCTGAATTCTCCAGATCGAGGATGGCAATGGAAGTGGTTCGGAATCCCTGTCTTTTGGCATCAGATCATCAGATGTTAAATCATGTCACCAGCAAATTCATCAACTGTGGTAGTCCGTTTCCCCATGGATACGATAAAGCTGTCCTTCTCATTTAGTCCTTCAATCTTGTTGTTATAATGGTATAATTCACAGAAATGTGGTTAACGTGATCCCTGGTCCTTGATTGTTACAGTAATAAAACAACTGATATAGTCTTCTAAGTATTTTATGTAACACCAATATTTGCAGGTTATAATACTTACCGGTATAATACCACGAACTCCTGGGAATGTTTAGTCGATTTGTTGGTGAGAATGAGCCACCGAGAACGCGTATCCTGCAATGACGAAACTGCAGCATTTCACGAGCTTGGCACCCACAAATCTTCTATCGCTTATGTGTAACTTAGTCAATTATACTTGTACTAATAATTTCCTATAATTTAAAATTTCAACAAGACATGAATGTCACAGTCCCCGTTATTTAAATATAAAATACTCATGTTAAAATAATACAATGAACATCTGCAAACAATTGAATTAATATGTACTCTATTGGGTACAACTCATCATAAAGTGATTTCTCTTAATCTGATAACTGAAAACTTTCATTGACCCAGGTCCAAAATCTCAGAGTTCACAAGTGCAACCAAACAATGCCTCATACATGCTCATGAAACTGCATTAATAAATCTGAGTAAACCTTGATGTACCTTTAATAACAACTTGACTTCTTTGTTAATTCAGGTCTTTTTATATTATAGGACCTGGGTTTGTTTCAGTATCACCACTATAACTCCCATCAAAATGTAGCCCTGACATCCCTCTATTGGATATTGGTAATGGTACGACCCATCTGTCACTGATTCAGATCAAGGTCATGACATCACTAAAAACCCTCACATTACGATCTAATCCAATTATTTATTCTGTACATTCTCAGGTTTTTAGTGGTGTTGGGAGAGGTAATTTTGGATGAACATCTTGAGACCCACAAGGGATTTTCAGATCTGGAAAATAATGTTCGTGCATATTCAACAGAGACTTGTTCATCAACCTGCCACGTTTCCTATATAACTCCTGCAGAATTTCTGAGAAAATGTTGGAGACATAAAGGGGGTGGATGGAAGGAAACCTAAAATAATAGTCGCTTTGTCGGCTACACCTGAACGGAGACTAACAAGAATCGCATCACATTGCCATGACAACATTATATTTCATATATACACATTTTTACTTTGAAATATTCTTGTGAATTGGATATGATAAAACAAAATCTAAAACGTTTAATACAATTGGTTAATTTGAAATTCAATAAAAGTCAATGAAAATCATTATCAAGTGAAGTTCATTGTATAATATTAATATAGTGTACATAACTAGATTATCGCACATACACAGGTACGATTATTATGCAATGCTAGTATTAGGGTACAGCAAAAAGCACATGTACAATATACTACATTTATTGAGAATAGAAGTCAGTTCTATTTATCATTATAAAGGAATATGACTAGTTACACTGTAATAAGGCCATGGACATAAATCATTGACACCTAAATCATTGTAGATCGAAGAATGTATTAACACTAAACAACTTTTCGTTTACGACATTGTGAATATCATTGATTTTATGAGGAAAATACTAGTATAGTGTTTTACCACGTAACATTATATTTATTAAAGTTCATGCAATATTGTTGAACACATTGCATATTTTGTAATTTAATTCAGCAAGGAAATGAAATACAAAAGGCAATATAACAAAATCACATTTTTTGTCGTAAACGGAAAGTCTTTATCGTTTTTTAATATACACACAATGCAAAAATACATGTTCCGCAAATAAACGTTTCAATCTAGAATTAATTTGTTTCTGAAGTAAAAATATGACTGCGATTACATGATATGTTACTTGCCATATATAACAATCAGATATATATGTTTATTAGGCACCAGTCTTAGTCTACATACCGATAGTAGAATTTAATTATTGATTGTTCTTAGACTATCGAGTATTGACTTCTGAATGGCAACTACTGTGCTTAACATTGTCTTTCAGCCTGCCTATGATTGCCCGATTAATTAACCAGGTAACTTTGCCGACAAAATTCTCGATAAAAATCAAAATTTCTATAATGGAATAAAACTTTGATGTGGAAAACTAAAATGTAACAAATTGTAATTCTTTTAAATGTAAATCAGCTTAATTATCATGGAATACAATATAAAACTAAATATGAATTAAAATCAGTTTTAAAATAAACTATTCATTAAATACCTATTTTTAAAGTGGCTCGACTTTAATGTTGGACATTGAAAAAAACAAACTAACATTTTGGAATTAATGTAAGTAAAAATTTGGCAGGACAGAAATAACAAAAACGTTACCAGAGCTGGAGTCTGGTATACTGTTTACCGGCGCCAACATAGTTGGAAGCGTTCATCAACGCGACCGATAGGTGTTGAATGTTTCCACGCGAAATCAACAAAACTTCGAACTTGCCTCTTGAACGCTTTCAAAATATTGCATATAACTATTATCAACATGTTTTAAAATAAACTATTCATTAAATACCTATTTTTAAAGTGGCTCGACTTTAATGTTGGACATTGAAAAAAACAAACTAACATTTTGGAATTAATGTAAGTAAAAATTTGGCAGGACAGAAATAACAAAAACGTTACCAGAGCTGGAGTCTGGTATACTGTTTACCGGCGCCAACATAGTTGGAAGCGTTCATCAACGCGACCGATAGGTGTTGAATGTTTCCACGCGAAATCAACAAAACTTCGAACTTGCCTCTTGAACGCTTTCAAAATATTGCATATAACTATTATCGACATGTTTTAAAATAAACTATTCATTAAATACCTATTTTTAAAGTGGCTCGACTTTAATGTTGGACATTGAAAAAAACAAACTAACATTTTGGAATTAATGTAAGTAAAAATTTGGCAGGACAGAAATAACAAAAACGTTACCAGAGCTGGAGTCTGGTATACTGTTTACCGGCGCCAACATAGTTGGAAGCGTTCATCAACGCGACCGATAGGTGTTGAATGTTTCCACGCGAAATCAACAAAACTTCGAACTTGCCTCTTGAACGCTTTCAAAGTATTGCATATAACTATTAGAGTGTCACGCATTGTTGATTTTGTCAATTTCACACGGAAACAGACAAACCCATAGCACTGATAGGTTCGTTTGACGACTCGCCATCTAGTAATAATAGTACACAATTACGATTACAAACTAATACTAAGCCAGGCACCAACGTCCACACTGGCATTAAATCAGTCGTAGCGTGAACCATATCTATATGTCGAATATATTCATTAATCACTACACAGATTATTTGATAACTGCATGATCCCACAAAATATAATCGGACACAATTAAGCGTACGATAACTGTTATTGGCATTATTATATATGTTGAAAAGGCGTGTTGGTCACTAGTAATCTGGTATAGTGTTATATATTGAGGAGTCCGATATCTGTCGTTCCGGTGCGTTCTGTGGCGTCAAGTAAATATGTTCCAGCGAGTCCAGTGCGGAATCGCGTGTCACTGCAATTGGCGGGGCTGGTGGTGCAGATGGGACAACCTCAACACCGTCCAAGTCGGTACTGTACTTCATGAAGTGTTCTCTTTCCTGGAAGAACCCCGTGTTTATAATATTGGGGCGTTGAATTCGTCTTCTGCTCAGAATATACAAGCAAACGTAAACGATTCAATTAAAAATTGTTATACACAATAATTATACATTATTATATACTAAGTAAAGCGTGAGCGTGATATGCAAAAGATAGTGCACATGTGGGGGTCAATTATGTAAACACAGTCGCCCCTTGAGTTTGTACTGACCAATCACGCTCAACTAAATGAGTTGGTATAAATGTCTTTACGTGTTTGTTTTCATTGCTCCCTTTACGCCTAGACATAAACAAGAGAACACAAGGACGCGACCTTACACTGTATAATCAACTTATGAACATTTGTTATTACATTTTGAACGTGAAATAGTTTGACAAACGAATCCCTGGTATTCCTGCTTAAAGGGCGGCAGTCGTCGCGCCGCGTCCTGTTCGATATGGGACTCATAGCGACGTATACAACGCGTGTAAAATACATTGTTCATTTTTACTTGAAATTCGAACACGCGCTTACGTGACGACCGCCGCCCTTTTAAGGATAATCAAGTTTTAATCCAAGGAGGTGTTAAAATTGAAAAACAAAATGGAAGTCACAGACAGCTAAGACTGTTTAGTAGATGGTGGATGGGCACCATCTAGGTTATGACACGCATTGGGCCAATCGGTCGAAACAAAAATGCCCTGCGAGAACAAAACCAGACATAAATTGATTCCAATCATTTGGTAATTCTGCTGACTACACGTGACGTATCAAAGAATAAATGATCATAATATGCATATTTATAAGTGTAGGTGCACTTCATTTTGGACGATCGCACCAAATTTTGGTCCGCCAACATGTGTTTAAATACATAAACTTGACAAACGCCTGGTGTATATAATACAATATTTCGGAGAATTTTATACAAAGATAAAATCAGCTTGTCCATAACTTTGTAATTAGAAGCGACATTATCTGTGATATCGCGTCGTGTTTACGGGTGGTCCCGCCACTCTTCAAAATACGAAGATCACGAGTGAAGCGGCGCGCTATCATGGGGTTGTAGTGTATCAACTTCTTCACCATATATTTTTGTTTACAATTTATATGGTTTGCGAGTCAAATACAAATTATTTCAGAGCTGATTTCCTTATTTTCGTGGAATTGAATGCCCAGAAAAGCCTCTGTGTACGACACACAGACACACGCGTTCTTAGTCGCAGCTCATGGAACACTGTGATGATGCATGATGCTAAAACTAGCAATACAAACTGCGATTAATGTCTTTTCAAAGTAGATACAAAATTATATTTAATTCAAAGTTTAAAAAGTGATGTAGTTTACGCTGTACAACTTACAGCCTCGGCACAATGCCGTGATTTCGTTTTGATTACACCTTCTCAGCCGACCACGGAACTCCAGCTCGAACATGAAAATTACACGCATTATACAATTGCCCATCAGTTGTCATGACCAGGTGTAAGAACAAGAGTAAACAAACACTCACATTAAAGTCAAACATATATATATGTACATTCTGAACAAAACTAATTATTATTTTGATGTGAAGTTGTGTACTAGTATGTTTGTGGGAGATAAAATGTGTGTAAATATTGTACATTTTGATGATAGTATAAAAATACATACCTCCGATATACAGTTATCAATACAAGCGTTAGAACAACGATAAGTACTATGAAGATTACCACTCCCGTGACTATCCCACTGATCGTACTCAAATTCCACTGGTTGTAGTCTGTTACGATCCCAGAGGTGAAATTAGAGGCTGAAGTGGGCATCGATTGGTTCCACGTCAAGGTGGTCTGTTTTGCTAAGGCTGTTCTGATAATATACGTTGGTGGTGCGTTGGAGATAGGTTTGGAGGGTATTAGTGCGTCTGTTTTTAGTCCAAGCGATGCTTCTGGTGTTGGCGAGGAAGTTTGAGTAGTGGAGGTAATCGTCGTGGTCCTCGTTGCTGTTGTTGTCCTGGCTGTCGTAGCGGGTAATGCTAATGAGACAAACAGATATACTCCATATGTCATATGTATACACTTGGGTAGAATACAGTATAAGATAGGACGGTATTCCTCTCACGTATATATTATGCATTCGTAAACTAACACGACTGTTTTTAAAGGGCAATTCACCATGAATAAGACAAATAGCTGAGAGAACTGACCCAATCTACGTGCCCACATGAAAAGGGCGAATAACAGAGAGCACTGACTACACTATGCGCTATTATATCGCAAATGAACGTGAACATCAATCATAATACGTTAGAAAAAATTCAGTAAAGTGTATTGGTGAACAATAATGAAATATTCACTTTTTCAATAATAACACCCAATCAGATGAGAGATATGAATATCATGGACACTATGATGTTATAAGAATTCGGATGTTTAATGATCAAAGAATTTCTCACTATATTAAAATCGTGTTGATTCAAGTACATTCTATTCGTTTTTTGCATGTGAGTGAGAGTAAACTAAAAATGTGAATACAATAGTAATGTGAATACGAAAATAAACCTACTTGACGGTATTTGTTTTTTGCATTTGAGAGCGAGTAAACTAAAAATGTGAATACAATAGTAATGTGAATACGAAAACAAACCTACTTGACGGTATTCTTTTTTTGCATGTGAGTGCGAGTAAACTAAAAATGTGAATACAATAGTAATGTGAATACGAAAACAAACGTACTTGACGATATTTGTTTTTTGAACGTATGAACGCCCATAGGCTTCTCAAATATGGCATACCCAACTCCGCCAATATTCAAACCAGTATGCTTGTCTGCTCTCTGCAGTTGCCGTTTAGTCCAATCCGTCCAATAGATATTGCGATCAACTACTGCAATACCAAAAGGATGCGGAGTGCCGCTGAGCTGCAAAAGTAGATGTCGACTTCCAGTTTTGAAATTGTAATATTCGATTTTGTCAACAAGCGCATCGCACCAGTATAACCTATCATCTAGAAATAAAGTAAAAGGACATGCGTATGTGGTAGTCAATATTGATTTAAAATCGTTACGTTTTGTATATAATCGGTATCAAGATGAAAATGCAGATCCTTTATAAAGTATGTCATTCTGATAACATAAAGCGCGGTAGTCGTCGCGCTGCGCATGTGCGAGATATATGGGTCTCATATACCAAAGATGGCGACTTTGACTGTTGCGCAGATCAACGAGTACGAACTGATACGTTTCCAAGCTTTAATTGGGTAATTTTCATGTGATTGGAAGGTATCGAAGGAGTCACCGGCGGTAATCAGTGCAAGTCGTGCCCAGGTCAAACCTCATACTTGTGATTTCCATTTGAAGAGCGCATTGGATTGTGGGAAAATCAATGTTTATCAACACAAATGTCGAACATGCCAGCGCAACGACTACCGCGCTTTAAGATGCTATTGAACTCATATTTTGTTTTCATATGGAAATTGGCGTCAAAATGGGAACATCGGGCTGAATAGTACCATTGAATACAAATTATAATTTATAATAATATCTGTTAATTTTGAACAAAATGAACAATACTTCCTATTGGTTACATTAATTGCAATAATTGAACTTAAAGCGGAAGGATCGTCACCTGCGCACGCGCGGGAATTTAGACTCAAGCGATGATAACAACACACGCTAAGAACGCAAAGGCTCATGCCTGTTTGTAAATAATGACACGCTATGGCCATCTGACGCATGCGTAGGTGATGACCCCCCCCCGCTTTAACATTCTAACATACCTGTAACGTCAAGTGCTAAACTGTTAGGCCAACCGAGTCCGTCACTAACCAAAATCATGCGATCGCCTCCGTCAAGGTCGGATTGTTCAATTTTTGGCAATGTCCCCCAATCGGACCAGTAAATGTGACTGACAAGAAAACACACCATGGTTAAAAGATAAATACAAAAAAACAAAACAATGCTACAGATGCTGCAAGAAGTATCAAATACCGAAAGACCAAAAGATGTCACGACCGATGACTGTAAGGTCTCTCTGATTCCATTTGCAATACAAATTGAATCCATAAAGTCCTATAATATAATAATATCCACATCAGATTTTCTATATTAACACCCTTGATATGGATTAAGGACAATATGATGATTTAAGAATTCCAATGTTTAGCAATCAATGTATTTCTCACTATATTAAACTCTTGTTGATACCTGTACATTATACCAGCCTGAGTGTTTTGCATGCGAATACAAAAATCAAAACATTATGCACATACGTAAGCCTCAAACATAATGTGTAGGTTTCACAGGAAATAAAGTAAAACCCTGCGAGCTATTCCTACTTCGAACTTTACCGACCAACTACAAAAATACACATTTGCTTAATTTACCTAGAGCAGATAATACAACTCTCACATAGACATACTGTTTTTTTAATTATTATTAACAGAACAAATAAATTAGGAATCGTTGACAGAAAAAAATACTTTTCATTTGTTTACGTACAGCATTGCATATTATGCAGTACATTTGTAACGGTGATTTGAGCATGTTTTGTAACATGTCCCGCTTAGAATAGACAGAACACTTGCAGTTTATTACGGTTGGCGTGTCACTCAACAGAACTCACCCTTTGATTTCGTCGACGGTGATTTCTCGTGGCTGA